TCAAGGAAGGAAAATGTACATAAACTATCAACCATTCTAATCGTTTGTGTGTGTGTGAAATGCTTGATATACAGGAGCATATAATTAGGTACAAAGCTCTATAGAGGCCACCTGTACTAATAAATGGAGGGTTTTTAATCTTTACGTCACATAAACGCACTCGAAAGTTGATCTTTTGGATAAACAAGTAGTCAAAAAGTTTAGTAAACTCCTTTGTCGCTAGTCGACAAAAAAGCGCCCGAGTTGACACGTCAAACAATCCCCCATTGAGCTAAAACTCGATGACAATGAAGTGATACTACTGTGTAATTTTCGGTTGTAGTGTGCGGAGGAAGCCGAAATATGGCGTGGCCCTTCCTTCCCCCCTCGTATAGACGTAACCTTTTGCATCTAAACAATCGAAAACACTCGATAATTACCCCGCGGGTGCGTGATTTTTCGGACGAAATCTGGACAGAGAGAGAAAAACACGAGGTCGCATGCCAGCTGACACAGGTTGATTTTTACAATACCTTCAGTTGGAAAACAGATGGAAAGCAGTGGGATCGAGTGTAGACCCGTGTTGACAATCTGCCATGATGAGACGGGTACCAGGCTCCTCCCACTGTCGCATTTGACGTCACAGGGGGCGTGTCGCATATCTGAGCGCTTGCGACACTCTAAGGGTTGCGGTTTTCTTTATTTCTGTCCTGTGTAAGGGGGGAGGGAGGGGCCAGCTGCGAGTCGGGGGGTGATTTTTTACTATACGACAGATGGGATCATTTATCTAAGCTCCTGAATCATTATCTTTGTCATCCAATATCCGTTTTCTCCTCCTGTTAGAAAGTATTATTAAAGCAGAGTAAGTAACACCAGAAAGAAGTGTCACAGAATGTCCTCTTTCCCTCACTACACAGTTATGATGTGTTTTCTCCTTGTGTTAGACAGAATTATCAAGTAACACCAGAAATAAGCGTCACAGAATGTCTTTTCCACCCCCTCTGTACGGTTATGGCGGGCGGAAATGCAAAGCGGATGAGAACTATTAAAATAATCAGTTTGGCGATGAAAATGAAAGAATGTATTTTTGAGTAGCGAAGGGCCCTTTATTGTTGTTTTAACAAGGTGTGACAGAATAATTTGGTTTGATTAATTTTTAATTCCGTGTTGGAAAAGAGGAGGAAATACTCGAGTGATTCTCCTGCAATTATCTGTGGCATAAAGGTGATGAAAATAGACAAAGATACCGAAGGAAAAAAAATGGGGTGAAGAATAGTTATTCTAGTGTATAAAGGGCCTTAAAACACGCAAGTATATGTTCGTGACTCGATTTTCTAGTGTGACTGAACAATACGGATTTTTACGATAGTATATAACTTACTGTTAGAGCTTGGGGCCCCGAACTATAACTTATAACCAGGCCTTTTCCTTTTACAAATAATGATACACGTGAAACTGTGAGGCCTTAAGCTATAGGCTCATAATGAAAGGTCTTCTGTTTAGCTTATGCCCAAATTTGACAGTGTGTAACTTTCTGTTACTTTGTGGCCCTAAACTATAACGTATAACAAGCCCTTTCCTTACTCAAACAACGATACACGTAGAAACGTAAGGCCCTAAGCTGCTGCTTATGCCCAAATATGGTCCTTCCTACTGTGACGACAGTATCTAACTTACTACTTATTAGGGATTGTGCTACTAAGCTATAACATATAATAGGCCCTTTTCTTACCGAAATAATAATGATACACGTAAAACTATAAGGCCCTAAACTATAGACTTAAAATGAAAGGTCTTGTTATTACTTTATTTCCAAATTCGACCTGCATACTGTAACTATAAATTCGAAAGTTAAATTTTAATTTTCTAGATTTAGGGCCCTATTTTTAAAATTGGGGCCTTTCGTGAGAATTAAAACACCCCTAATACGCTGTGATTCTGCAGTGGAGCTTTCATTATATTTCCCTAGAAACTCGATGCTTTCAGAGTCCACGAGGACTAGGACCCCTCGAGATCATGAGCCTCTCCGTATGACGGCCTTGTTTTGTTAATACGTATAGGGCTCAGATTGTAACTTCAACTAGTGCCAGGCCCTTTATTACGTTACCCCTACTTCTCTTATACTTTAGCGAGTTTATATAAGAAGGGCCTCTCCTCTGTGCCTTGTTTTATACACGTCATTTTCACATCTCTGTATGTAGAGAGGTGAAATGAAGTCAAATAACCTGCATGAGACGGTATTTAAACTTTGAAGCAGTGTAGAAGTTGTGGTATACAGTAAAACCTCTTCAAAACGAAACGATTTTCTGCATTAAAACCTGTCTAAAAGGACCAAACCAGGCCCATTTAGACAGGTTGCAGTTTATCATAGAGTCCAAGGATGTTAAGTGTATGCCCTGTACGTTGTGGTATACAGTAAAACCTCTCCAAAACAAAACGATTTTCTGCGTTAAAACCTGTTTAAAAAGACCAAACCAGGCCCCGTTTAGGCAGGTTACAGTTGATCATAGAGTCCAGGGACGTTAAACAGACGGAGAAAACTCGTTACAGGTTGAAACTTTAAAGCTGATGCGACTCGCGGAGGGAGGACAAGAGTTAACGAGCAGGTTGCAGATGACAGATTTCATACAGAGTATATGAAAAAAAAAAAAAGGCAAGATAGCCTGATTAATTCACCTTCTTCTCTACAGGGCGCGTCTAATCAGAGGCAGACAAATTTGACTGGAAGTCACGGCTTAACAGGATTCCCGCTAACGTCTCTATTCTGGCCATCGGGGAGGTCACGTGTCTTCCCATGTCGAGCGACCTGCAAAGACGTCCAACGCGGTAATTACGTCCCCCGATTCGTCCCCTGTTACAATGCTAGACTGCGTATCAAAAACAAATTGATAACAATGGAAACGGACGTCAAAAAGAATGAAAATCCTCGCCCACCCCCCTTAAAGGGGAAGGTGGAAAAAAAAAGCGAAATTCGCAAGGATCCAAACGTCATTCTGTCTCATGTGTCATCGCCTTTATCTGATCTTTCTGTCATTCGTTTGGATTTGCAGAAACAGTGGGCGTGAACGTCCCTTTTTGCACTCAATTTTCGGCTTATCAGCCGATGGTTTTCTTTAGTTTACGAATTACACGCCGATCGACAGCTGATTAATGCCCTTATCCATCGGCAGAGTAAGTGTTTCGTCACTTAAATACCCTAAATTCTGCTACCTTGCCTTTGTCCTTATCGCAGGAGTGCCCAAACGGATCGATAGTCTTTGACAGTGATAAAGGAAAGACGATTCTACAGACGAAGCTATCGTAATAAGGATTGTAAGGCCCTTCTTCTTTGCAAAACCTTACGTGTGATCGCCCGTAGAAATTAATCCTAACAAGTCCATTGTGGGCATTCAAATGAGGACCCTCTGAGATTGCAGGGTTCCCAATACGTCCCATTATATAACTAACCGTAGACCTGTGTTAATGCTAAACTTGTGAGTCTTTCTGTAGGTGTTAAGGACGTGCATAAAGGTTTTAGCCTTTTCTTATTAGCCTTATACATGCACTTCTTTAATTAATAAACAAAACAGTTCTAAATGTCAAGTTCTTTAATAGGGAAAAGTCCTTTTTTTGTTTTCTATAATGGTCAACGAACCTTTAGTATTATAAAGTTTTGAGCCTTACATACTAGCCTTAAAGTCCGAAAAATCAAGTTACTTAATAGAGACACAAGACCTTTCTGTCCCCTCTAAAATGAGCCTGTTCTAGAACAGGAGCCTTAAAATTTAAAAATAAAGTGCCTTAATAGAGACGGAACCTTTCTGTCCTTAAAAAAAGCCTTATTACTCTGCCTTTATACATTTCCCTCTTCCTTAATTAATAAATTATGCAAAGTTCCAAGAATCGAGTTCCTTAACAGGGGGGGGTGCTTGCAGATTTATGTGTGATTCACTTTTATGAGGTTCATTGTACGTGAGAGAAGGGACATATTTAATGATTCGAATTATCCTGATTATCGCGCTTATTAACACCGTAGTAATTTTTATTTTATTTATTATTTTTTTTTTTTTAAATTTAAATTTAAATTACATAATGAGCGCGACTCTGCACGCATTGTCAGCGGTGTGTGTCATCGTTTACGTATGACAATTCAGGAAGTTTTAAGTGTGTAAAAAAAACAGAGGAATCCTGCAGAAAAACACTGCAAGGAAAACTCGATTAAGTCTCGATCACCGTTAGGAAAGGTGGATTAATTTACATAATCCCGTATAACGCGCGGCGCATAAATTACGCGACCGGAAAGGGGGGCAAGAATGCAACACTTCCGCAAAGTAAAACAATTAATTAAAGTACGTTTTCCCGATTTTTAGGCCTTCGGGGGGATGCTAAACTGTACTTAGGCGCGGCTTTAGGGTGACTGAGATCTTTAGGTTACTCTCTCTCCCCCCACCTAACCTGCAGTTACGTTTTCATGCCGTAATTCTAGTGTTATTTGTAGGTAAAAACGGAGCGTTAACGTGTGATGCTATGCGCTATATAGAGGTCTGTAGGGTAGGGTAGGGTAGGGGAGCGCGTAACTTTTCTGTCGGCGAACTTTCGACCGTGAGGTTACGTCATACAACAAGTAGTGCCAACAATTGGCGCGCACGTCACAACACACGAAACAGCTGGCCTCCGTCCAGCACAGGAAGCGCAAGGACAGTATGTTGACCTTGAGGTGGCCTGCAACGTACACTCTCTCACAGAAACAAACACACGATAAAACACTAGAAAAATAAATAAATAAATAAACCCAAGTAAAAAAAAGAAATTCGCCGTATTATTATTATGTTAAACACCCATCGATCCGAAATCTTTCCGTCACCTGTATTGCACTCTCGTACGTATGACGTGTCGATGATGTCAGCCGACGTCACCGCTTCCTACCCTCCTTTAGACTTCTGGGTAAAACCGCATAATCAGCCAGTGACGTAGCTTTCGCTACACCGCCCATTTTCCCGAAGGTCCTTCCCCACTTGCCATATATGGCCATCTTCGGTTTTCGGTTTTCCGATGTGGCGGATGCGAGATCCAATGGGATGTAAAGTTGGCTAAGGCACAGCCAAGCTGCTCCCTTTTCCTTCCATCCTTGTGGCCTAGCGTGTGGCCGGACAACACACAAATTGTCACCATGCTACCGTTCGAGACGCCGAATATTTTCGACCAGTTACCACGTTTTGTATTTAAAATGCCCAAAGTGGTACCGGACCAAAAAGGCAAGTTCGAGTCCGACGAGTTGTTTCGAAGATTGAGCCGCGAGAGCGAGGTGAGTTCCGAATCCCTTTTTTTTCCCCCCTTTCCCCCTTACCCCCTTTCCCCCTCCAAATTCCTTATCTAAACCCTTTTTATACCGTCCCTCAGGTGCGATATACGGGTTACAGGGACCGTCCACTGGAGGAACGACAGATGAGATTCCAGAACGGTTGCAGAGAAGGGCACACCGAAGTGGTAAGAAAACCATTTAACACTATTTTTAAACCTTCCTGACCTCGCCTGACTTTATCGAATTTCCTGAATCACACGTCGTTAATCATACCTAAACGTTTAATTGTATTACCACCCCGTTTTAAGGCGTCGAGGAGTTGTTAGCCTTCCACGCAATACACTAGTGATCTGTTGTAAAAAAAAAAAAAAGAAATGGTTGTCGCACCTTCCGTGGTAAGGGTTTACGTAATACACCAGAGCGTGCGATAAGCCAAACTTATTAGGTACCACCCGAAAATCTGGCGTAATGTGGTAGTTCGGATCCAGATAAGTCACCTGTACCAAGCGATTGCTGCTCGAGAAACAGGATGTCACAGGTGGCAAGTTGGCAAAACGTGACTATACTCATCGTTAATGATTGTTACTCCATCACGAAGGCGCGTCACTTTACAGGTCAGCGATTTCAAGGTTTGGCCTTTTACTACTTTCGATGGGCCATTCGTAAATCTGTAAAATATTCCTCTCTTTAGGCATGTAACTTCACTTTAATTGAGTATCATCGTCGCTCTGGCACCGTCGCCATCTTGTGATTCTTGACTCTCCCTTGAGCCATCTTGTGATGCTTGATTTTCTCATGATCCATCTTGTGATTCTTGACTTTCCCTTGAGCCATCTTGTGATTTTTGACTCTCCCTTCAGCCATCTTGTGATTCTTGACTCTCCCTTGAGCCATCTTGTGATTTTTGACTCTCCCTTGAGCCATCTTGTGAGGCTCGATTCTCTCTTGATCCATCTTGTTACGTTAGCATTTTTTTACTTATTAAAATACGTAACTTTACGAGTAACTTTATATTGCAGGCGTTCGTGGCAACGGGTACCAATTTGCAATTGGTTTTCAGCCCGTGTACCAATGGTTACAGCGAAGGTTGTGATTTCGATAAGGAGCAAGGAAAGGTGAGTTTTCTTTCTATTATTATTATTAGCTTTAGGGCCTTTTAAATGTAGCAATAAAAGGTACTTTTATGGCCTTTCTATACCGCATTTTCTCGTGTAAAAATATCTATTTAATACCCTATGCGTCATAAATAAAACCTTGTGTATCATTTTAATGCCTGTAAGAGTGTGTAAATTATAAAACCACGTAACACGTGTTTACGTTAGAGAACGAGGAAATTGAAGGTTTCTGGTATTAAGGGGATTTATTACGCGAGTGAGGCATTTTCGATTGTTACCAGTGAGGAAATTTCGGGTGTCAAAAACCACTTTTTTTTATTATATATTTCGGGTAATAGATGCAATACCGTATTACGTAAGTGAGGCAATTTCGTGTGAGGTGTGAGGTGAGGTAAACGAGGCACGGAAGTGAGGAATTTTCGATTTTTTGGGGGATCTTTCTACGAATCCTTCTTGCGCAAATGGGATTGTAACTCGAAGAAGCCTCTAAGATTTCATAATTAATAAACACTGTATAAGACGACCACATCCTGTTAGTCATAGATGATTAGTTTTATCAGAATTCAATGAGTCGACGGATGTGGAATTTCTCGGAAGAGCGTGTGACACATAGAATCAATTCCTCAAATCTCTTACTCTCCCCCCTCCAAATAACGAATTTCTTGATTAGCGAGAAGGAATTAGACACGAGAAAACACTTCCTAGTTTCTAAAATAACTGGAACAATTATTTCGTCACACGGCACACACAACAACACACTGATTTCTATAAGGAGCTCACTCACTCACTCACTGACTCATAATATTTCGGGGTATTTGCCTTCGAGTCCTACGTAATGATTGTATCCTGTTAGAAAATGTCCTTGAGTGAATCGGGTCATGCTCGGGAGGGGGATACGTACTGTACTTTACCTCAATGCCTCCTTTCTAAAATTTTCGAGTGCCTTGTGTGACATATTAGGTGAATCGTAAGGGGGGGGGTTCTCGTGCCGACAAAAGATGCCGATTAACAAAAGGGAAATACTAGGCCTATTTCTACTGTTGTCTCTACACATGCGTGCACGTTTAACTTCGTCGTTCCCTTTGTAATAAGGTAGTTTAATCACGTGGGAAACCTTATGATTATATACTATAAATTACAGGTACATAATTTGTGGTCTACAATTAAGTTCTCCCCCCTCTCTTTGTACTATCTTCTAGGTCTTTTTAAGTGTTTAAACACCTAAATAATGCCTTTTCTAACGGGTTAACCTGTCTTACACGGCACTTTTACCTTTCTATAGTGGCAAAATTTAGCTATTTTAAGGAAGGTGTCCTTCGTTTAGAGGTTAAACGATAACTGCGAGTTTTGGGTGTAAGTATACTTAGTTTATAATAGACCATTTCGTACACCTACCCGTATGCCTTACTACAACGATAATGGTATCATCAGAACCAATGTAAAGTCTTTATTTTCGGCATTTAAAGTATGGCCGCTCTTTATCCTGGGTGTCCACGATGATTAATTATTATCAGGTAATCACTTGGTGTTTAAGGATAGGCCGAACGCTCCGGGAAAGTTACCTTACAGCTGATCCCAATGACCCAACCTTGACTTAGCTAACTTAATTATATACAAGTTTTTATATACCCTAGTTTAGCCTTAGGTTATGCCTAACTGTTTCATAAAGGTAGGAAGAAACATATGTGTGTTTTGCCTGCCTGTCTTTTGAGTGTAGGAAGCGGGACAACTTCCTTGCTTCTGCTAACCTGAATTTAAGCATTAGGAAAAGTGTAGAACAGGTTAGAAATGTTAATGATACAACCAGGCAGTCGACCATTGTAAAAGTAAATGGTACCCTCTCCTGTGTTATATCCTATACAATATAAATTGGGAAGAAGATGCTCGTCACCTGCGGTTTAGATAAATTAAACTTCTGTATATACGGCGACGAATTTTTTCTCTATGAAGAAAGTTAATAGTTCCGTCTGGTATCGAGCGCCTTAAGGCTAAATCTAATGAGTGCCTGTTCGTTGAATTGCACTTTATCGTTAATTTAAAGAAAGAAAAAGGGGTCATTTTCATGCGTTCAAAGTCATTTCCACAAACGAAATGATCGTCTACTGGAATTAGAAATCGACGTAACAATACTTACATTCCCTGTTTTCTTTTTTAGTTTCGATTCCCCCTATAACACTGTTGATTATTCCGTTTTATATGAATTCCGTGTTGTACGAGTCACTTAGATTTTACAAATATGTGAGCCGTTCACGGCCCGGCACGCGTATTTGTAAAATCTAAGTGACTCGTACAACACGGAATTCATATAAAACGGTATAATCAACAGTGTTATTGGGGGGGTCGACTATAAAATGTTGCACCTCACCTTCACTATCGTGTTATATTCTGTTTATTTTACCAAGACAAAGAATAGGGGGAAAAGGGGGGTGATGGAATGTAACCTGTAATCTACGGCATTTTGAAACCAAAACGTTTCCATTGTTTCCGGGAAGAATCCTTGGATGCGAGGGATTGCTTGAAATAATGAGGATGAAACTGCCCGTGTTCGTGATTCGGAATGAGAATGAAAACGTTCGAATTCTAAATTGGTTTAAACAGTGGAAAATTCTTCAGGGAGAACTCGATTTTGGTTACGGAATTGCTGTCGTTACGCTAACGAACGTGTGTCTTTAGTGAAAGGTTATGCCGTGCGTTGTAGAGTTGCATTCATTTAGATGGGGGGATTACGCGTATGTAGTGTAGAGTCGAATCTACTTTTTAGACGTGTAGCGTGAATAAAATAAATTGGACAAGTATTGAGACGTTCGTAACGTGCGAATCTACTCTATTTTACCATTGTTGATGTGTTACGAACGTTCTTAACAATGTCTAGTCGAGAGAAGAGAAGTGTTGGGAACGTAACACACGAAAAAAACAGAAGAATTACGGTAAACCTTCACTATAATCTTCTGAATTAAATATATTGTATAGGCCAAACTAAGTGTTACGATTTAGTTTGTTTATCGAATACAGACAAACAGACGGTCTCCATTTCTGATTTTTCTTCGCCATTTTCCCTTTCTTTAGCCTCTGTTCTAGGCTACACGAGTGAAGATTATTCGAAAATAATTGAAGAAGGGTAATTAATGAGTTGAAAGCTCCTTTGTTAATTCGATTTCTCACCGTTAACTTCGATAATTAGAGGACGTAACACGCAAATTTCCAAAGATTACTCGCCATTTTAGGTAGAAAATACAACCGAATTTGCCATCGTTAAGGTTTTCGACACGAAACTGAACCGTTAAAGTGCTTCAAATTGTGAGTAATGTGTTCTAATCTGATGTAAAAGTAGGAATTGCCTAATGGACAATGGAAATGATTCGAGTAAATGGATGCAGTTTGGAAAATTCGTTTCAGTAAAGAACAAAAATGGAGTTTTTGCGAGAAGGGAGAGACAGAGAGAGAGTGACGACGAGATAGTTGAGTATCTCTGTCTCTTATTGGTCAATCGATCCGTAAAAGCAAAATGGCTACCGACATTTGTTATCATCTCTAATCAACGATACCATCCTGCAACGTTGAAAAATGGGGTTAACGACTATCGTGCTTGAGGGGGGGTTACTTTACTATCTTAATTTTACTTATTTAATTAATAAATGACCCACTGGAAGAGAGGAGGGGATGAGATAAAACGAAAAGGCCAAAAAGCTCTTCTCAATAAAATCAACCAACGAGAAAACAGCTGTATAATATCTATTAGAACATAAGTTTGGTTTTGTCACAGTGCAGTGATTTCTCCACCCCCCAGCACTTTACCTGGCCACGTGTTACCTATTGTCCCGCTCTTGTCATCGCTAAACTGATGACTCTCATTATGGATTTATTACTAAACTAACAAGGTAATGCTACCTACTGGTTGTACGCTCGATAGAGCACTAACGACCCGGGTGGTCCCCCTTTAATTTCTATCAAAAAAATAATACAGTTCGATGAATTTGATATGCCCAATTTTATATATATATATATATATTGTTGAATATAGTACACAGAAGAAGTATATATTCTTGTATATGGGTCGTGCAGATTTCTAGGGGTTGTGATCATTAAATTATGCTTGGAGCTAAGATCACGTGGCTTGGGTGCGGTGAACTACCGGGCCGGCCATTCGATGGAGGGGATTTGGTCGATGGCGGTTGCTATGGTAACGTTTCAGGTCACGATGTTGGCAGCAAGTAAGATCGAACGCTTGCAAGTCACCCTCAAGTCGTACAGTTTACAAGTAAACCATTGGATCAGTTTATCGATTGAACTGAGTGCAGATACGCGGAAAACAATATCGACAATTTCAAATGTTCTTGTATTACTTGACAGAATAAACTAGAATATTGCATAAATAGTCTATCTTCCCCTTAAAATTGGTATAAATTTCAATGAATTTACACCAGAAAAACTACCCTGTGTTTATCTTCAGGCTTTATATACTACCAGTCGACCCCCCTATAACACTACGATTTTTCCGTTTTATATGAATTCCATGTTGTACGAGTCACTTAGATTTTACAAATACGTGTGCCGGGCTGTGAACGGTTCACGTATTTGTAAAATCTATGTGACTCGTACAACATGGAATTCATATAAAACGGAAAAATCAACAGTGTTATAGGAGGGTCGACTGGTACTATCCTTTGATAGTTATCTGTACTACTACTTACTGTACAGTTATTTTCAGTAGTATTTATAAATTTCCACTGTATAATTAGCCTAGAATAGTGACCTGCAAGTCAATCTATCACTGTATCACTCCTCTATCGATTCTAGGCTAAATAAAGTATTATACAATAGAAATTTATAAACTATACTACTGTAATTAACAACAGAAGTGTTTACAGTAGTATCATTATTTATAGTGTTTACTACTGTAAATTTACTTTGTATATCTATAGAGAAAGTGATCTAGTAAATGGAGATACTGTACTTACAAGCAAATCTATGTGCACAAGTCTACTTACAAGTATTTCTCTTGGGCCCATAGATCTACTAGCAGGTATCTCTCTACTGTTATTATTATTATTCTAGTGTTAGTGTTACTAAACCCTTCAAAAATGCGATTTAAAACTGTAATTAATCACTTAAATTCAAGATTAGGTACAGAAAACACGTCACAGTACTTAATTTAATGAGGGGAAGGCGTAATTTACTGGTGAAAATAAACAATTTTTATGCCCAAAATATCTTTTTAACTGGGTCGATGTTCATTTTACTCGGTTCTACCCCCCTATAACACTGTAGATTTTTCCGTTTTATACGAATTCCATGTTGTACGAGTCACTTAAATTTTACAAATACGTGTGCCGGGCTGTGAACGGCTCGTGTATTTGTAAAATCTAAGTGACTCGTACAACATGGAATTCATATAAAACGGAAAAATCTACAGTATAGAAGTAAACGGTGCGCTTAACGCTACCCAAGAGAAGTGAGGTATATTATAGAATAATACATCAATGGGTCCGTTCTGACCAGCTTTTTACTATACATTTTTAGTCAGTTCTTACAGAAAAAACCGTTGTGTATTCCAGAAGAGTAGGCCTGCAAACATAAACCATAACTGCCAATCAACTGTTTTTCTAATCCATAACGATCCCCTTCGTTGAAGCGTAACGAAGCCCAATTAAGAACGTATTTTTTAATCGTTCTTTGCCAGTTAGATCCTCAACTGGTCCGGTGCATACTAATGCATTTGTGTGTGCATAATGCCAGATCCATCTATCAACTGTAGCGGAACCATGCATTGGCGATAATAGTTTTGTTTCGTGATTGCTACTACTTACAAATTACTTCCTGCAATAGGGATGATATACCGAATGCTCGATTTTTATATACAGTATATACATATATATTCAAATTCCATTCCTGTTTTTCTTTACGGGCACGGGTCACACACGTAACGATAAGATCTTTTATCCGAAAGAGAATTTCCTGAATTGTTCTGGATCAGATAAAAATCTGAAAGCTGATTGTGTACAACGCTTCTGGGCTTGTTGGATGTGCTACCTGAAAATAATAGCACAGCTTCTGTTGTAAATAGCAGGTCTTAGAAGATAATTCTGTACCTTCTGCTTCCATTTTTGAATTAATTGCCATTCGCGCACATGTTGCTATTCACCTACAAGGATGTTTATACTGTATACGGTAAGGTGTGTAATTACAAAGTGTTGCTGGTGTTTGCAAATATTTTCGAATCTCTTGACATTTCTTGGTGGAAATTCGGTATTTTAGGCTGCATAAATTTTTTTTTTCTGCCTCCATTTTGTATCAGTTTCCTCTGTACAAATGCTGTTACTTGTATAGCAGAGTTTTGTATAATACAGTTGGGTAGTCTTGCTGGTGTTTCTTGGCATTTGTTGGTGGATATTCGGCATTTTAGGCTGTATAAATCTCGTTTTCTACCTCCATTATGTATCAGTTTTCTCTGCACAAATGCTGCTACTTGTATAGCAGCGTTTTGTATAATACAGTGTATACAGTTGGGTACAGGTCTTGCTGGTGTTTCTTGACGTTTGCTGGTGGAAATTCGGCATTTTAGGCTGCATAAATCTCGTTTTCTACCTCCGTTTTGTACTAGTTTCCTCTGCACAAATGCTGCTACCTGTATAACAGTGTTTTATATAATACAGTAATACGGTTTCGTATAATACAGTGTATACATTTGGATATAGTCTTGTGGGTGCTGCAAACATTTTCGAATTTCTTGACATTTCTTTGGTGGAAATTCGACATTTTGAGGCTGCATAAATGTTGTTTTCTTCCTCTATTTTGTATCAGTTTCCTCTGCTTCTTGTATAATAACAGTGTTTTGTGTAATACAGTGGATAATTACGATCTTTCTGACGCTACAAATATTTCAGAATTTCTTGCCATTTCGATATGCAGAATTTTCAATTGAAAAATATGAAAAAGGGGCCTTAAAATTGACTGAAGTAAATCCTCTTTTCGTATTTCTAGAGGAATTCTCATTGAATACACCAAAGTATAAATACAGATAACTCCATGAAAGTGAAATATAGTGTAAAGTAAACTAGATATAGGCCTATACATAAAGTTTATACGAGATTTTCGAAAAATCTGAATTTCCTTTTTAAATTTAATTCAATTTTTTAAGTTATTTTTACATAGAAATTCCATTTAAATATATTTATTTTTATAATTTCATGGTGAAAAAAATCCATTAAGGAAAGGGGAAATTTTACCGAGATTCATGCTAATTTCAATTAAGAATAATTAAAATTAGCATGAATTTTTATCCTTTATTACGTAATTTTCATAATAAATAATTAATTAATACGAAAATTTCATTGTAATTTCCTTGGGTGTGTTTATGGAAAGTTTTTATAATAAATCAGCATGAAAACTATTATTATTAGTTGCTTATGTCTCGAGCTTTTTAGGGGTGATTTGGGGGTTGGGGTTCTACAGTATTTTTTCTATAATTTTAAAGAATATTTATCCCAAATTCGGTGCGAATACGTTAAACGGTATAAAAGCCTATACACATATATAGGCCTATACGGTGAAACCTGTCTAAGACGGAACCCGAATAAAACGGAAACCTGCTTAAACGGAAAACATTTTCCTGAATAAATCGATTTTCTACGTTAAAAAAACATTCCAATTTACACAGGTTTTCCCACTAGTCTTTAAAGTATAGTCGACCCCCTATAACATTGTCGATTAATTCCGTTTTATATGAATTCCATGTTGTACGAATCACTTAGATTTTACAAATACGTGAGCCGTTCACAGCCCGGCACACGTATTTGTAAAATCTAAGTGACTCGTACAACATGGAATTCATATAAAACGGTATTAATCAACAGTGTTATAGGGGGGTCGACTTGTAATAGCCTAAATATAGGCTTAATTATTAGTAAATCATTTATAAAACCTAATAATTAATTAATCTATTTATATTTTAAACGTTTCGGCTGTAAATAATTTAATATTTTTTTAAATTAATATATTTATGTACAGTACTGTGTTTACTGTATTTAATTCTGGAAGAAAAATGGACGAATCTGTAATTAAATTTCCATAGATAAATTCTATAAGAGAAATTCTACAAGGGAATTTTTATATTAAAATTATTATAAATACGAATAAATTAATTTATAAAAAACACGCGATTACCCCACGGAGGTAGATTTTATGTCTCCTCTCCTAGCTACCGAGCTTGGAAAAATGATGGAGTGTTTGTCAGTGCCTAGGAAAGTTGGGCCTGAAGGCTGTATCGGTTTTGGTGTATGTATATACATATAAAAAAAAAAAATATGGTGTAATTCAGGTGCAGTAGATGGTGTTGATAGGCAGGCGCTTTATTTGAAGTATCATTCCGAAGATATAATTGAGTGAAAAAGGAACTGGTATTGTTGGGCGTTGTGTTTATTGTGTGTGTCATTGTACTCGTCAACTCGATCATTGTTATTTGACTCCATTACTGTTGGCAATGTGTGTTTTTCAGCAAACACTCAACCACCTACAAACGTGCATCCTATAATTACCGGGAATTGCATATATTACCCATACTATCCTGTCACAAAACTTTCAAACGAGGTTGACGTTGTCCAGATGTCTTGCAGACGGTGGCAGTAACTGACCTATGAACCCCCCCCTCTGCCGAGTTTTTTTTTTTTTGTTTTCTTTTTTCTCCTTTCGTAATTACGTTTTAAGATGCACAAAAACTGGTCCCATTTTCGTGTATGGAAGGCATTTCCTTTACAATTTGGTCAGTCGCCGCTGGTCAGACCACACCTCTGTGCAGAAGGAAATGGAGCGAGCAAATGGTAGCTGGGAAGGTTTTTGCTAATGTGTCAATGTGCACCATTAATTTCGTCAATACAAGAAAAATTCACAATTAGATTTGTCTGTCGTCAAACGGGATGCATTATTGTGTTTTTTATGCCACCATCTAAGCAATCCTTTCTGGCATTGTTTTTCTGCCGCTTCGTGTCTCTATTATGCCTATTATTAACGAAAGGAATTATAGACAATGGGTCTTGAAATATTCGCTAAATTTTAATAAAAAATAGATAATAATTAAATATTAAGAAATAATGGCTGATAGGCCTGCAGGGTTGTGCTTTACGTGTTTGGTGAACGGAACAATTGATATCCGAAAGTAATAGGACTCGGAGGAGCACTGTTTAGCAGGGTGACGCTCCTCCCTTTTAATGTTTATTTTAATGTATTATTGGGTTAATTTACAGGTACACGTTAAGTCAATACTCATTATGAATGGGGTGTGCGTGCGGTACAGAGGCTGGATGGATCTGGAACGCTTGGATGGAGTGGGTTGTTTAGAATACGACGAGGAGAGAGCTCAGGTGGGTAGTTGGTTGGAATACGTCACCGTGCAGTATGTAGAATATTAACTTTGGTTTTTCTATGCGTAGGTCGAGGATGCGTTACTGAGAGAACAAATCGAGAGATACAATCAACGGTTGAGAGATTTTGAAGAGAAACAGAGAGCGTTCCGAGCTCAACAGGAGCGACAAGCCGAAGCCGAAGTAGAGGTGAGTGCAGATTTCTCGCTCCATTCACAGCGTAGTGTAATCAGGTGATGCTATTGCCCTCAAAGACAGATGGCAGCTACACTGTGCTCCGCTGCCAACAGGTCGTTAGTGCCTTACGCCCTCTCCCGCTTACGCCAGAAGCGCTCTTAATGGGTGAGCTACAGAGGTGCACCTGACGATGCGTGCGACTCGGAGTTTCGCCATCGCACGAAATCGTCTGAGCGAATGAGGACGCTTCTCCAATGCACCTGCTTCTGCCCAAACTACCAACTTGTATCGTCCGCCGTATGGTGCATGGGAAAAGCGTCTATTGTCCTCCTGAGCAGTCCACGTGTCTCCTCCACAAGACTTGGGAAGCCTATTGTCTACTTCATTTCTACGTTCTTCGCTTCTTCATTGTATAGCTAGTCCCTATCCAGATGGAGTTCGAGAAACGTAAATCCGAATGACTAGTACTACATTCCTATCGGTTTGATTATACTGGGGTATCCGGGATGAGATTTTCTACACCTGTCACTGCACAGACGTGAGCGACGAGCGAGAGTCGCGATTTACTGGACAAAGCTTATCTTTAGTTAGGATTTACTGCACTCTACGCTCACTAGTACAGTTGTAGGAAACTGCCAGGCGGACACAATCTTCTCACACTACACTCTTTTCTTCATAAATCCTGCAATAAATAAAATACAATTCATGAATAATTTCAATTGTGGGAAACATTCTGATCCACAGATTAAGTGGTTGCAAAAATCCAGAGTGGGCGAATGGATTTGGGGTGGAAAACCTAGAAAAATGGTCCTCTACATATGTTTTTCATACGAAATTTCATGAATGTGGGAAAAATCATCCCGTAGACCAGTTATGGAACCAAGACCGCGTGTCCTCTGTCAGGGGGCCAGACAAAGTTTGCATGGCCTCGTCACTAGAAGAAAAAAAAAGAGGGATTTACGAAGGGAGGTCGAACTAAATACGGTTTAAATCCGCCTATTCACCAGTGTTACGGGCGCAATAAGAGCACGTGGCTGCAGCTAGTTTCCAATGTCTCTTGTCAAATGTTTACATCGATAGAAAGGTGTCTCCAGTTACACAACGATGTAATTATCATGTAGAGGTAACAAGGTTAACTTGTCATAGGTCACGTGGCAACAGGTAGTGCCATGATGACTATCTAAATCACCCTATAATCCAATTCTTATATTTTATTCCCTACTAGCAGTAATTATGACGTTGAGAAAATTACAATTTAATTCGTATTCCATATCGGAATATTTATCTAAATCACTGATTTAAATAGTAAAATATAGTTTTGCACCCCTCGTTAACAGATACGTACGTGTGTTGTATTGTTAAAAATGTTTAGAAAGGAATTTCTATTAGTCAGTGTGCCCCTTAATTATGGATGGATATTTGAGCGAATGAAGAAAACCAACACAGGAGCTAAGTCTATGATGATAAACACTTTAAATATAGGAAGACCACCATAAACTTCAATGGTAACATTTAAATCAGATGAAGTTTTTCTTACAAGTCCCACGTGCATTGCCCGGGGCCCGTCATATTCGATCGACAATGTGTGATGATAGAGGGCTTCTATTCTTTTCTATTAGGGGAGGAACGCCATTAGAGGATCAGCGGGGGTCAGCACTAGATTAAAGTCTTATCGCACATTGGAGCACAGATTACAACTGGGTAGGATAGGAAGGAAAGTAAAAAAAAAAAAAAGTAAAAGTGAAAGTTGTATAATTTGATTTACTTTCTCTCTCTTCCTCCTCTCTCTTTTATCCTCTAGAAATTATCTTTGAAGCATTCTGGTTCCATGTTTCTTTGATGCTGTTTATTTTAATTTCTTTCAATCTATTTTAATTCTCTGTTTGTGTGTGTGTATTAAATTCAGTGACAGTAAGCTGTTTTGATATTTATCGAGACTTTCAACATTATTTTATTTATATTTGTTTTAATAATAAACGAAGTGAATGTTTAATTATTTAATTTGTACACTTTTCTCACAGATTTTCGAGTATTATTTATCTTCGGTCTTTTCTATTTACTGATTATTTTAGTCTTTAAAGTTCAAGTTTAATGCCTTGTATCTTTGAGGAAAAACAAAGACCGTTCAAGGCTGTTAATTGTTTTCACGAGTTTAGTATAAAGGAAACATGGCAATGTTTGAAGCTCTGTACCCAAAAAGTCAGTGTGCATCTAGTGTGGTATTTGCGCTATCATCATGCATATAGTATAGTATTGTATTTGTCATTTTGCCCTTAGTATAATATTTTATTTGTCAATGTGCACTCAGTACAGTATTGTACTGTCACTGGGCATGGTATTGTACTTATAGTACCGTTTCGTTCGATAGTATGGTGTCTACAAATGTTATCGTGTGTGTTTCTAATATAAATATAAAAGCAGAAACATAACAGAAAGGTACAGTCGACCCCCTATAACACTGTTGATTATTCCGTTTTATATGAATTCCGTGTTGTACGAGTCACTTAGATTTTACAAATACGCTGTGAACGGCTCACGTATTTGTAAAATCTAAGTGACTCGTACAACACGGAATTCATATAAAACGGAATAATCAACAGTGTTATAGGGGGGTCGACTGTGTAATCGTTTCTAAAAGGCTATACTATTAACTAAATCGTTACAAATAGATGCTAATATGTATTTTTTCCCCTTCGAGCGCCCATACAAAGGAAAATATTTTAAATAATAATAAATTGTGCAAAAAATAGGAATAAAAGCCGCACACCTCTAACCAGGTGGCAAAAGATAGTGAAAGAATACGAAATCCTGTTAGGTTGACAAACTTAGAAATCGCATTATGCGTGAAGCAAAACAGTAGGATGGTCCTGCAGAACGTGGGAAGGAACTCCTAATTCCATTAACGCTTTTCAAAATCTTCTTATACCTTTGCAGGCCAGAAAGAAACAAGCAGAACTAAGTCCGGATCGTTCTGGCTCCGCAAGCAACTGAAAAAAGAAAAGAGGATGTCAAAAGAAAGAAAGAAAGGAAGGTGTTTAGTCTGTACATGTGAAAACAAAACAAAACAAAACAAATATTTATAATTAATTTATCGGAAGAGGTCAGAGACGATGACGACGATGACGATGACGATAAACTTTTACAAATTTCTGTGATTTTTTCGTGATTGAAAAATGCTCATTTATGTGTATTTGTATGGAGAAAACACAAGACAATTATCTTCTTCTTTGTTTTCTACCCATTCCCTCCATCCCTCCTTCATCTATGATGCAGCTATGCCTCTCCAAGTCTCAGTTTTAAAATCCATACATTCTCTTTAATCCCCCCCTCATCCCCTTGTCATTCTCCTCCCTTTGGTAACAAATAAAATAAAATAAATAAATAAATAGAATTTTAATATATGTGATTTCAATTTTCGAGACTTGTAGACGGCAAAATGCAAGCAATAATTGTGTAAAACTGTCATATATTTTTTTTTCTCTCTTTATGTACATTGTTGACAATGCTGATGTCTTGTTGTCTGTTACGTATTGATGTCAGAAGTGCTTATTTGTGACGTCATTTGTACAGTAATGTAGATTATTAAAATAAAATATATATAAAAAAAATAACAATACAGGTGTTTATCCAATTGTATATTATCACAATACTATTCTTGGGGTTTATTTTAAATATTTTTCTAAGAATTCTTTACGCAATTATATTCTTATGAAATATTTAATAAATAAATTCACTTTTCCCCCTTTCCTATAATTTAATATTTTCGGTTTTTCCCTAACATAAGCTGGGATGTGACGTATATTTCTGTTATCTTTAAATTAATGTATATGACTAAAAAAAAAATGTCGGTCATACGGCGGCGTGACGACTACTGTGTTTCGCCTTCGCGCTGGCGGTGACGTAATTATATTCGTTAATACGTAGTACCGGTCGTGATGTCACAATGTGTTACTTTTTCGGTCACGTGACGGATTGGCTGTGACGTGTTTTTCTTAGAGGTAGACCGGTTGTGACGTCGCTGATTAATAACCTTGTATTGAAACGTTTCGGTTATTTCGATTCCTGTAACTGTTTATTTCAATTTAAAAAAAAAAAAATGGAGGATTTTATCTGAAAATTTCATTTGATTTCATCACGTGACGTCAATCTCCCCTTCTCGTGACACTGAAACTATTTTAGTGTCGCCCTGTTTCGTAATAATGAATTAAGTGTTAAATATAATGCAGTTTTGTTTTTTATATTGGCTCCTTTAAAGAAAGGAGATAAATGATATTAAGAAAGGCCTGCCTTATATTAATTAATTTAGATATCAGACGGATCGGTAGTATCATTTGAATCAGTTCAAAGGCGCAAGAAGGCCCTAAATTTAAGGTACTGTACTTGGTACTAAGGTACTTGGTACTAACGAACTAATATAAACTATTACGTTTTCTATTAACAAACGTCTGTACATTGTTTTATCGTTATTATCCTTGTTTTTACGGGCCCTAGGGCCTCGTATCTGCAACTGATAGCTCTTATCGCATCTCTCAACACAATATACACGTTTAACGTGCTTTTAATTTATGTAATTCATTTATACAGCTAGGGCCTGTCACTCAGAGGGGCCCTAAAAGTTAGACGTTTATAATAATTAAATTTACTTTTCAAAAACCTGTATTTTTTTATTTGTTTAATTGAATATATTTGTATATTTTATTTGGCTTTTACAGAGTCTGAGTGAGGTAAGTTAGGGCCTATTTATATGTGGTTTTATTAGAAATAAGATTTTATATTTCTGGCCGAACTAGGCCTCTGTGTGTCTATGTCCAGGGCCTCAAATTTCTGAAGAAAACTCTTCTCTTTCATATAAATAAAGGCCTATATATGCCTAAATATACTTAAATTGAAAGCGAAGAGTATTCAGTTTCTCTTATGTGTTTTCATATTTAATTTACAGACCTTGAGTGAGGTAAAACGAGGTCTTAATCCGTGATAATTTATTTTTTCTTTTTTAAATTTATTCGGGAAATTTTAATAATAAATTATTCTTGATTAAATCTAAAACGTCATAAAATTGTTATTTTTAAATTAAATATTTTTAAAACAGTAAAAAAAAAGTAAACCAAACGACATTTTCCGTTTTTCAAATATTCAAATATTCAAATATATCGTTTGGCGTTATCCTATTGGTCGGATCCAGTCGGTAACCATAGCAACGTTATTAGTTATGGCAAACAGGTAGAATTTCATTGACAACGTCTAACTTTTTTTTTGTAATGAATTTTTATTCATTTTATGCTTGAATTAAGTAATTTTTAATGAAATTTTAATTAGAAAAGTAAATATTGATGCCTTTTAATGTAAAACGCGTACTTTTCTCTTTAAATTTTATAATTTTTAGGTTAAAAACGTTGGTAAGTAGCTAGGCCTAATCATTGATACAAAATATAATTTGAATTAAATCATATAAAAGGCACAAATAAACTGATTATATTTATAATTAGGGCCTGTTAGAACCTAATTATAAACTTAATCAAACCTTGTCTTCCTTATTAGGGCTTGCTAGGCCCTAATAACGAAGATAGTAGTGGCTGAAAGAGAGATAAGATGAGGCCCGAGTGAGTCATAAATTGGCTGAATTTAACGTGTTTTGGATCATATAACAGGCCCTCCCTCTTCCTCTAATAATTCGGGCCTCCATTTTTTATACGTGAGGGCCCTAATTATGTTTTTGAGGTGAGTAAAGCAAATATATCTAAGAAAATGTAACATTTTAATCAGAATTTCGATTTTTAGTTGTTTCTTTTGATGAAGGACGTATAGGCCCTAAGAGTACTAAGTCCCTGTAAGATTATAGGCCCCACTATGTGGACAGAACACGGCCTTGTCTCACCTCACCAAAGTCACTAAAATATTCCAACAAAATCAATAATAACAGATTTTACACCATGATTCGCCAGGGATGAAGAGAGGCCTCCTGTGTCTGTCTGAGCCTGCCTGTAGATTTGTTTTGAAATTTTCCAATTCGTAAAAATGGAACGTCGGTAAGTAAATTTGTCTAATTGTTCTAATATAAACTTAACACAACACAAAACACAAAATTATTACATACATTTAAATATTAGTTCAGGGGCATACCAAAATATGAAGGTAATCATGGGATGAAAGACAGGTAAGATGGGGCCTGAGCGAGTCACAAATAGCTCAGTTTAGACGTGTTTTGGCTCTTAACTATATCATATAACGGGCCCTTCCTCTCCACCGAATAAAATTAGAGCTCAGGGCCTTGCATATAAAAATGCGAGGCCCTGAGCTCTATGTTCTAAATTCAAAAGTATTAACAGACGTGTTAATAATTTTAAATATGAAAAAGGCCTCTTGAAAATCACGAGAGGCCCTAGCTGCTTATTATTTCGGGCCTTTTTTAATTTTTTAAAAAAGTACATTACCCTTTAAATAATAAAATCTGACAAAAGGAAAGGTTTTCTTTGTTATCACATCAGAAATACAATAGAAGGAATAATTTATAACAGATATCTTTACGATCCTTGTGGATGGGCCCCCTGTCCCTATCACATTTATGGGAAGGGCCGATAAATATGAGGCCCTGCTACAACTTTCACATTTACGGATCTTCAATACAATAGGGAAAGGATTTTCTTTTCTGATTAGGCCAAAATACGTGACGTGATGAAGACAATTACTCCGTCTGAAGAGAGTGTTCCTATGTGATGGCGCGTTATTCTATAGGAAAAAAGGGCAACTGCCTGGGGCCCCAAACCAATATTTTATAAACTCATTACTGTAGTAAGAATATCGAAATTTAAATTTGGCTCTCCAGAAGTCGCGTTAAAAATCGAACGAGGAAACTGGATAATTCCCCCCCCGAAGAAAACTCTAAAGTTAACCAGTGGGCCTCCTAATTTAAATTTGTCAGGGCCTTAAGAATCTATAACGCGTCACTGTTTCTTTGATTATTTATAGTCACGATTATAAAAGTTTATGATTAAAAACTATCCATGACAAGATTCTAAACAGTATATTCAATAATTGGACTTATTTTTAAACTGTAGGCCCTATATTAACGTGCACGTCCTATCGCCGAGGGCCCGCAAGGCAATTTCTTTTCGGGCTTTTATTTAAGGGGACCTCAAAGTTATTACTCTTATTTATGCTACTGTTTTTCGTGTATAAATATTAGAGTTGTCGAGAAGGATAAATGGTTTGGCTTCTGTTGAGGCCTTTTTAATGTATATTCAACGCTACAAATTCATTTCGCTCGACAATTGCATGCGATAACCAATCAGATTCCTATACGCTTCTCACGTGATCGAATATAACACCATTTAGCGTGCAAATTCATCAATGCCAGACGGATTCATTAGGGAGGTGTGAAGAGCGAAAAGCAATATTGAGTCGGTTCGTGTGTGTATCGAGCGCATTCTTCTAGCTGTCTGGGACCCCTGCAGCTCCTATTTACTGCAGGCCAACAGCTGCATAGTGTGCCCAGTCAATTTTAACAAAGGGAAGATTCACAGTGTCAGATCAGCTTATTTGTCACATACAATATACCGCCCATGGAATTAGGGCACGTAACAGAAAAGGAGTATTTACTGGGATTTCGGCGCCATTACCATTATAAAAACGTGTCCACCCTCTTAACTACAACCCTATGGGTGGCCTGACGAGGTGCACATTTAGTGCAAGAAAAGGAAGAAATTTCCTCTCTTTTCTTTACTAAGATGAATAAGTTATGTTGATAAAAAGCGGGCCCCTTTGTGTGGTTTTTCTACAACTTCAATAAAAATCGAGTCGAACATTTGTCATGATTGACAGTAGAGATTGATAATGTAGTCAAGAGAAAGGCTTTTTGGTAAGCTTAGGTATAAAATTCATTAATACACAGGGGCAAGTTTCAGGTTAGTTCACCCTTCTGTGCTGTTTTAGCGTAATACATTACGTATTTAACATTATTTTTTATGCATCTGAAGTCATAAATTTAATCCAGAAACAAATAAAATTAATCTACAATACTTGAACACACAGTAGCAGACCTTAACATCTAGAACCTTAGCACATAGCAGGCCCTAATCATATAGATCTTAGCACATAAGACACCTTATCACTTAGTAAATCCTGTTAACATTAACTGATTTAATAGAAATGTTCTGCACACGTGTACATTCGATCTCCCCTGTATTAATCAAAGTAAGGTTCACTTTATTCTCCATATATTTTAATGTTTAACAATTAAAATGGGTCTAACTTTGAAGAAATTACGTCTATAGAGATGGATAATTTAATTTTAAGCATTGTCTATTATGACGCTCCATCTGGCGAAAGTTTTGTTCACTTCAAAAATAATCAAAACTTTATCCTAAGGTTGGGGGGGAAAGGCCGCATGAATGGTTAAATATGGTCGAGGACGGCCCAGTGGAGCAAGCCCGGAGGTCTAAATCAGCGGAGTCAAGTCTTTCTCGCCAGGCAGCGCTACTGTCAGCGGGGTGTATTGCGACGCACGTGCAAAGTGACGCCTTCTCTCCTATAGATACTCGCTAATTGTAACTAATACAATAATAAGAGTGAAAAAGTTCACTCCACTGGAAGATTAAGGACAGTGG